TGTGATAATAAGTATGCTATGTATGATAATAATAAATTTGGTAAGAATATGGGTACAAAGATAAAAATAAAATAGGTTGCACAGTCAAGGGTTTGAATAAAGGTTCAACCGGTCACTGCATTCAACCAAGATCACAAGAATCACATGATCTCTCGGACATGCTTGTCCGTTTCGTTTCGGAACTTTGGGAGTTAGTTTAGGTGTAACAATACCACATGTTTTCCCTGCTTCAAAAGCTCACATCCTATTCATATGGCTTTAGCTTCACTATTCAGGTCATAAAGAATTTCAACTGTCTCACCCACATGAGGCTAGTATCTGTTATCAATTATACGAATATCTTCACCGTGATATGCCTTTAGAAAAGCTAGCATTGAGATGTTTGCAAAGGCATCCATTGCCAATACATGTCTTGCAAATCTTAAAACATCACGCATTGCATTCTCAGATTTCTGCGTATTTGTACCGCTAGACATTTGATGCATAATGGTATTGGCTTCATCAAGAATAGCCACAAATAGATGGGCTATGAACTCAATACGGGAAAGACTCTCAACCTGTACTATAATAATATCCCACTCATTTATAGATAAGTCTCCTTGCATATTTTAGTAATTGCAAATTCGAAAACCAGATGCTTTCAGTTTATCAAGCTTTGTTTTTGATTCATTGCTAAGAGATTTTCGATAAGAGATCTAGATATAGCATAGCAAATAAAAGACACCATATACCTTATTCTTTAGTGCCATAATAATTTCTCTTAATGTAGTAGTTTTCCATATTGCTGGGAATAAGCAAATTAGTGTAGTTGTTCTTTTAGTACTTAAAAAATCAGGATATGATTCAGGTGCATCTTTCAGCCTTTTAATATTAATAATTTTTCCTGGCAACTCTACAAGAGAGTGTGGTTTTGCTACAATATTGGCTACTCTATTAACAATTTTTTGTATAGGTCTATCTTTCGGCTTGATTATACCTGATGCTTTCCCAAATACCAATCCTTTATGGTCTGGCTTATATTGTTTCTGCTGATAATACCTAAGTACAAAGTGCCCATTGCTTCGAAGAAAGCCATATAACTGATCCTTCTCATGCTTGATTTCACAAATAAAACATGCTTCCAATAACTGAGCTTGAAAGTTGACAAATCCCTTTCTAATTTTTCTGATCTCAAGCTATCCATATTTTACTATAACTAGACTAGCTTCCTTGCTTAAGGCAGTTTCATCTTCGATAGGCTAGAATTTCTCTTCTCTTTTTGGCTTCTCAGAAGAAAAGGTTTGGGACCAGATTTCAGAAGAATTAGATTTAGGTTGAACTAAATAATCCTCTAGCTTGTAGTACTCTTTCTTAACTGAAGAAATAGCAGGTCTTTTAACTCTATCTTCCTTTACTGACCCAAGAAGACGAAGGCTAAAGCAAGATTTATAAAGATCTATGTTAATGAATTTTGAATATGGTTTTCCAACTTTCTTAGCAACTTTTTTCACAAATCCTCTAAGGTCTCTGTAGTCAACAAAACGTGCATAATTATATACAATATGCTAACTGCACTTATTAGCATTAGACGAACTAGCTAAGGTAAAAGCATTTAAAGTTATAAGATAGTTTAAATTAAAGTATATAATATCAGCACAGGCAATTAAGATTCTGGATAATAAATCTTCACAAGAAATTTTATATTTATCTAAGGAAGGAAGTTTGGGATTCATGGAATCAGGTTTTTGCCTCGCGTCGATGTCCAGAACAAGGTGAAGAGACAAATTTTTGTCAATGCATTCATGAGTATCAGGTATCTAATAAACTTCAAATGGATGATCAACAACTGTAAAACCCTTTCCTGATACTCAGATTATATATTTTAAATAAATCTCCTTGGGTTAATAGACATCTAGAAGAGCGATATTATCTTTACTAATAGACAAATATTTGAAATATGTATGATTATGATAGCCAGACTCATAGTCAAGGTCCGCTAACTCTAAAAAGAGCCTAATTGCTTCATTTATTTTACTGAGATCAGGCCCAGATTTTTTTATACAGGCAATATAATAGTATATGGAAGAAACTAATATAAATTTATATAAAAATTCTTAAATCTTCAAAATAAAAAATGTAATGTGTATAATTCGGAAATGAAATAAAAATGCATAAAGCTTTATTTGGCCTCTAATCTAAATACTAGCATAAGTATACAATAAATATACTAAATAATACTTCAAAGCAATTAGTATAATATTTCGAAGTAGTAATTATGCAGAAACAAAGTCTAAAACCTGAAATATACGAATTTTTGGTGACTCACTCAAGCAAAATTATATATAGGAAAGAAAAAAAAAAGTTGCACTTGAGTGGGTCACCTCATCCTGGTAATCAAAAGGCTGCAAAGCATCAAAAACATATAAATAGGTAGCAGTATAATCATAAGCAGCTCCCTTATATATACCTTGTATTGAATGCAGTAAACAAACTTATTCTGAATATGGATTCTGCAATCCATATGCTAGAAAGTACCGTAAAAGAGAACAGTATCATCGGAAAAAGCATGCTAAGTTAGCTTCAGTGGAGGCAACCAAACAGGCGCAAAAAGGTAAGCACTTCGATATAGAATTTGGCAAGGAGTGAAAAATAAGATATAAAATTAGTAGTATCCCAAGTTAGAATAATATATAGAAAAGAAAATAAGAAATTACAACTTGGGGTACTACTGCCGATAAGCAGGAAAGAGGTCGGGAAGGCAGAAAAGTTCAGGAGAATATATGAAAAAAAGTATGAAAGCAATATAGCCTGAACTAATTCAACACTTCATGTCTTATCCTTGGCAATCAAAATGGTCATGGATGGGATTGCAAGAATGGTACAACATCAGTATTTCATGCCTCACCGGCAATCAAAAAGTGAGTGAATAGATTGCAACACATCTTTAGCAAATAGATGGATTGCAAATTCGGCACTTTATGCCTCATCTAGCAATTAAATGGGCCGGCCATAATAATGTCTATCATATCTCTGATTCTCTAACCAACTGACCACTAAACCAGGCCCTCGAAAGTTACTTGAAAGTAATGGAAAAGTGATGAGAAAGTGCCTGGAACTGGTGAGGAACTGAATATGTGATTGGTGCAATAAATTTCGTTAATTTTGGCCAGCACTAAATTTATATTTTTTTTCAAAACTTTGAGACGCAATAACTTGGTATCTAGATATTAAAAACCAACCAACCCAACTTCAAACCAGCACACAAGGCCAATATCAAAAACTAACCAATTCAACCTCCAAAAGGCCACAAAGCATTAAAAATACCCAAGTAGACAGCACTATAACCATAAGTAGGTAGTATTATAACCGTAAGTAGGTAGTATTATAACTATAAGCAGATAGCATTATAACATAAGTAGATCAGTCTTATAAGACTGCTCTACTTAGATTTAAGGCTAGAACAAAGCACTTAAAACTAGTAACAAATACTTTTCTTGCTCTTTTGCTTTTTGTATTTTATAATAAAAATTTTCAACCAATCAGATTTTAGCGATATTCGTAATTCTAGAAAATTTCTGTACTGTCGCACAATGCAGATCTTTGCGAGATTTGGATATACCAAATATGGGGTTGAGTCAATAGAAACCAAGCAAATATTTTTTAATAAGTTTTTTTAAAATTTTAAACAAGAATAACAACAAAAACTTAATCAAATTCAATAAAAGTTTTTTAAATTAATTCTACAAGTTGTAAAAATTATTTAAAAAAGTTTTTGTTAAGTTATTCTTGTTTAAAATTATAAAAAATTTTTATTATAAAAAATTTGCTTGATTTCTATTGACTCACCCCCATATGGAAATAATCCCGACTGCATTATACGTATGCTTTAAAATTCCGTTTTATACCTTTTTTATTCATGAATTTTTCCGATACTGTATGTGAGATTTATCAGGTGATTATACCGTAGCCACTTATTTTTTTAGTTCTAAAACCTTTTATTTTAAAAACTAGGAACCAGGTTCTGGTAAACTAAGTTCCGAACCTAAGTTAAACTTGGTTTGGTTCTAAAACGTTAAATATATTTTATACATATATATCAGATATAATCTGACTTATATAGATGATTTTGGTACGTATCGTAAGAGTTTGTATTACCGGCACAAATAAGTAAGATCATTGGACAATCGACGCAATCTGTATCTGTCACACATTTCGAGCTTGCAAATGGATGCACTCGATTACATCCCTACCAAGCGTGAACATTTTTTTACCCTACTGCGAAAAGTTGAAGATATTTTATAAGGTATAACGACAGCATGGGTGTAAAACGTTTATGGAGTTTATTAGAACCCGTAGCGAGACCCGTACAGCTTGAATCTCTAAGCCAAAAAAGGCTTGCTATTGATATCCTATATACTTTATAGTTCCATTGACATATTTTGGTTATTTATAATATAATCTTTAATTTATTCTGTAATTAACACATGCTAGTATTTGGTTATATCAATTTTTAAAAGCAATACGCGACGAAGAAGGAAATGCCTTAAAAAATGCTCATATTTTAGGTTTTTTTCGGAGGATATGCAAACTTCTTTTTTTCAATATCAAACCAGTATTTGTGTTTGATGGTGGAGCCCCGGAATTGAAGCGACAAACTTTGGTTTGTTATAATTATCATCATCAAAATTATCGATAGAATTTCACCGAATTGATCATATAGAATTTTTTTTTTTTCTTAAATGATTTAGGCAGAACGCCGAAAAAGACGCATTGGAAAGACAAATGAATTACAAAAAATAGCTGGAAAAATTTTATCAGTTCAGATTCAGAAAAAACGTGCTGTTAAAAATATTGAAGAATCAAAGTATAATTTATTCTATGCTTGTCACCTTTGTACATTCGAGGTCGTTTCTGACTTTTGTATGTTAGTAGATCAGATAAAAGCCGAAACGAGACAATAATAGGTGATGATGTCGTTTATTATGATGAATTAAAGTTGAGTCCTACACAATTACATAAAAAGAGAAAAAAGGATGAATACTATTTGCCGCCTATTGAAGGGGGAATCGAGTATGTATTTGTATAAAGCGTATATTTCGGTTTAAAAATTATTACTGAATGTTAAATTACCACTTAAGATCCATGATTAAAGATGATGATCCAAGAATGGCAACTAAGGAAGATCTTCGCAATTATATAAAAAAATACAAGGCAATTGTTAATAATCTTGATGGTCTATTATCTGCTTACGTGAAAAATAGTCTAAGAATTATATTGTTATAGCCAGAAGATATCAACACCGATTCTGAATATTTTAAATCTCTTCCGTTGGAAACTCAATATGAGATAATTAGTGAACTTAGACAAAGAAGTCGGTTAACTTCAACGGATAGATTCCAAGAATTAGTCAACAGCGCTCCCATATCCTAAATATGAGAATATATATATATATTTCTATTTTTTTTTTTTATCATTTAAATTTCAATTTTACTTTATCATCCTTAATGGTTCTTATTACACCGCTATGGATTTTTCAAAACTCCAAATACAAAATCTAGTTAAAAGGAACGATTTAACTCAAAAAATGCTGGATGTTACGAATAATGTTAATAATTTAAATAATACTACCCCACTACGAATTGCATCAGAGCGTAACAGAGAATACATATTAATTAAGAATGAGGATGGACTTGCGGGATATACAATGAAAACTAATGGTACCACAAAGTCAAATAATTTAACTGGCAGAGGATCGGGCACAATTGATGAGCCAGTGAATTTGGACGAGAGCTCGGAATCTGATGAAAAATCAATACCAGACTCTGAAAACGAATGGGAAGAAGTTGAACTAGGTGATTTAAGACGAGACAAATTAAGCATAGTTAAATTATTTATCTAATTCCTCCTTCTCTTTATAGAAAATGGACCTGATGATTTATTATTAGATTCAAATGCTTATGTTGATGATGATGAACCCATTGAATCCGTTATGAAAAAATTTAATATGCTTGAATCTCAACATCAAAATTCACAAAACTTTAATAAGCAGTCTAACAGAGAGGTTGGCTCAGTTGATAACCTAAGTGATGATCAAGATTCATCTAAATCCTATGAACCTGACTCTCCAGACTCATTATATGCTATTTGGTTATCACGAGTTTCACCTGCATTTCAAAAACAATACGATGATCATGATGAAAGAATCCATAAAGCCATATATGAATGGAATGACTGTGATCTTGAAGAACAGAAAGCTTTGGCTATCAAACGCTTAGGAAAATTAAAAGAGGGCGATGACGAAAAAGAAGTGGCTTTAAAATTCTGGCTCGACTTTTTAAAGGTTACAATCCAATTTCGTAGGTCACATCCGCTTTACTCTCGAAAAGATGAAGCAGATAATTCTTCATTAGAAAGTATTAATAAAATAGATAATTTATACGTCAATTCGGAACCATCATTAAGACAGTCAAGCACTGTTTTTGATGATAATTTTGATCTTAATAAACCTAATAATAAACTATTTACGCACGAGACTTTGAACTCTATTGGGCAATTGAAAGATACGAGCCCGCCCAAAATTAGGTCAAAAAAATTAATACAGATAGATTTTGAATTCTTTAATTTACCACTGGCCTACGATACTCCATTGACCGTTAATTTGAAAAGAAAGTTGTCTAAGAAAGTGTCGAAGAAACTTAATCAAACGCCTCGTCAAATAATGATTAGGGAAATTAAGTCTATAATTTCAACTGAAAATTTGCTTGCAACGGATTTGATGAATGATGTTAAGCACACTAGCATAGATTCTGAATCACTCATTCAAGAAACATCACATTGCATAACTAACGATGGAATAATTAAATCTGATTACATTGAGAACGAAATGCATAATAATATTGATTCAATAAATGTTTCATCGACGAAAAAAACTTTGATAAAAGATATGAACAATTTATCCGAGGAAATATTAGGTAATGATGAACTCCTGAATAAAATCAATCAAAATTATCTCTTAAAAACGAATGACTTAACTCGAGTAGATTTGTCACATAACGACGGCGATATTATATCAATATCTAGAGAAGAAAAAAATGATTCAACACTTCAGAATTTAAATCTTGAAATTGATGATCTATATCACTCACAATGCACCGGGGATTTTCCTGAAATAGATACAAAAGATTTAAAATCAGATAATAATGTTTCTTCAATACATCGACACAATAAATCTAAAATTAATGTAATCGATTTGACATCTGAGCCTGATATCCAAACAGATGATTCAGTTAAAAGTGATCATGAAACATTGTCCGATGAAAATGTGTTCGAGTCACGCGAAGAGTATGATAATTCTGACGAGGATACTGCGCAATTAGCCAAGGAAACCTCCGAATTCGCTAGGTTTTTATCCGAATTACAAAATAAAGACTTGGGTTCAATACAAAAAGAGCTGACTAATGAAATCCAACAATTAAATGAACAGCAAAGACGAGATAAACGTGACGCAGATACTGTGAATCAGTCTATGATAAATGATTGTCAAGTAAGAATATGAACTACGTCTTTTTAAAATCTGTATATTTGCATTCAGGTAATGCACGTATACATGCTTTAACGTATTTATTGAAAATTTTCACAGAAACTTTTAAAATTGTTTGGCATTCCATATGTTATCGCGCCAATGGAAGCCGAAGCACAGTGTGCTGAATTATTACAGCTTAAATTAGTTGACGGCATCATTACAGATGATAGTGACGTATTTTTATTTGGGGGAACAGAAGTATATAAAAACATGTTTAATCAACAAAAATATGTCGAATGCTACTTTGCAAAAGATTTTGAGCAAGAGTTAAAGTTAAATCGGGAAAAACTAATACGACTTGCTATTATTTTGGGAAGCGATTATACTGAAGGTCTACCTGGTATTGGAATTGTTGGTGCCATGGAACTTCTGAATGAGTTCCCTGGTGACGATGGCCTAGAACAATTTAAATCTTGGTGGCTAAGTGTACAAAGCGGAAAGTATACACCAGATAAGGATGAAAGCGATTTCAGAAAAAAATTTGTGTGTTCACATTTAATATTATATTATTATTATTATTATTATTATTATTAAAGAAAAGAATCGATCCCATCTAAAGAAATTTTTTATTTGGTTTCATATTAGCGACGAAAGATGCGCACGCTCTTTTTACCATCAGATTTTCCAAGTCGTCATATATGGAATGCATATATGAATCCACAAGTTGATGATTCAAAAATCCAGTTTCAATGGGGTTTTCCAGATTTGGATGACTTAAGAAGGTTTGTGATAAAAGACATAATAATGATAATAGCTTTTGAACCGTTCCACTGATATGTTTATTTTAGCTATTTGAAAGAAAATCTATCATGGTCTGAAAGTAAAGTTGACGAAACTCTTGTACCACTTATACGGACCATGATAAAGGAGCAGGCATGTTATATTAGTAATTTTATTATTTTAATATTTAAAAATAGTAAATAAATTTTAAATTGAATTATGATAAATAATAGAATGAAAATGTTGAAAATGTACGAAAGATAAATATACAAACTTCTTTGGATGACTTCGACTTCTTCGATCTTTCTAGCAATAATCAACGCTCAATAAAACATAAGAGTGCAAGAATTCAGCGTGTTGTTGATAATTGGAATCAGCCAAATAATGAATCTGGTCATGGAGGCTCGACGACTAAAAGGAAAGGTATAGAGAAGACAACAACTAAAAAGTCATCAAAGAAAAATAAGAATATAAAAGGATCAAGAACGACAAAAGGTATTCAAAAAGCTGATGTTATTGAGAATGTTCGTTTTCTTTATATGTTGGAATGAGTGTTGAGAAAGGATAAAAATTGCATTGTTACTTTACACAATTTTATCCTCTTTTCTTAGCACCCTCCATAATTTTTTCTTCCAAGTAATAATATTAATACTTTACGTTTTTAGGCTTATAACAAACATACAGTATAGTTCCGATGAGAAGTAATGCGGTTTGAATTGTGCAATATTTTAAATACTGCCCAAATGCATATGATCGTTAAAAGATATTCATCTGTATATATATATGTATTTGGGGTTTATATTATCGTGTAACATAGCAATTGTCCAATAAATTTATCCTGATGTTATCAAAGTTTAATAAATATATACAGTATGTCAACTTACTGTATGCGACAATTGAAAAAAGTGATATATACTATGGTATTTACTAACTTTGTAGATTATTTAAAAAGGTTTTTTTTTTTAGATTTTATTTAATTTGATTTTAAAAAATTTTTGCAAAGCTTTATTTGTGTTTTACAATATTTATTTTGTGTTAAACTTTAATTTTAGTATTTATATTTAATTAAAATACTTTAATTACAAGTATTATATATATATATAGTATAAATTATATAAAGTTAAAATTATAAATATACAAAAACTCAAATACTTAACTCTTTTCAACAATCCTTTGTACCAAAATCAAAACAAACTTTTTTCAAAAAAACAGTTAACTATAGTAGAAAAATAGAACATAAGACTAAACTATAAACCAGTACCTGTTGTTTGAAGATAGTTTTTATATGCTATTTGCCAACAAGCCTAGAGCTTATTACTTACTATCCCTTAATATGTAGACCAACACAGGCAAATTTGCCTGCGTTTTTGCACTTTTTTAGCTCTGATTTACTTTTTT